GGGCTGGCGAGGAGACGTGCCGAAACGCGCGTGTTGGACGTGGGGCTAACGCCATAGCGCGTAAGTGGCGTCCTCTTCGTTATTGTTACTTCTTAAAATGCGCGATAAAGCAGCGAGGTGTCGGAGTGGTAGGCGCAGTAGGGGAACAGAAAACGCGGAGCTGTGTCATCTTTGGGCATTAGGAGGAAATTCTTCACAGAAAGGGTGATTTGATGTTGGGGTGGTGCAGTCGCTGTCCCTGGGGGTGTTTAAGGAAAGGCTGGACGTGGCACTCAGTGCCATGGTCTCATTGTCGTTGGGATGTTCCGTCGTAGGTTGGACTCGATGACCTCAGTGGTGTTTTCCAACTTAATCGATTCTGTAATTCTGTAGCTGTTGAAATAATACATGGCTGGATGAAGAGTACATGGGGTTGGAAAGGCAGTTCCAGAGGACAGCCAGCCACGCTGCCCATTGCCTCCATGCATTGTCTTCACACAGTCCTGCATATATTGTCTCACTTCACATGATCTGTGGGTTCCGTGTATGAGGCGTATTTTGGTTTGCTTGTTGTTTGTTTTTTTTTAATTTACGGAAGTCTGTGTAGCTGCTCATGCAAACTACATGTTGCTGGAGATGACACAGCTTTCAGACTTGTAAATGGTGACTTACCAAGTGAAGAAAAGCACTGAAAACATGAGTTACCCTGAAAATAATTAATAGGATTTTCTACTAATAAACGTTCATTACTTTTGTGCTTTTAAATAAGCTTGTGTGAAATCTGTAAAGCTTTAGAGCTACAGATTACGCCTGTGGTTTATGTTTTGGGCTCATTAACGACTGACTCCTACAAAAACATGCCTTATCAGTGTGATAGTGATTGGAATAATTCTGGCTAGTAACAATAAATTACAGTTCAGAAGCTAGAGCCTGCCCTATCCTTTTTTTCTAATTAGAAATACATTATCAGCATTTAAAAAAAAAGTAGACCAAATAAAAATGCCTGTGTTATGAATAGTGACAAGGTTACGGGTGTGCGACTTCTTGGCACCAGGCACTGAAGGTGTGTATGGATTTGGTTCTTAGCTACGTTTTAAATTATTTGGTAGTACACTTAGGACAAAGCAGGTATCTCCTAGTGACTGCCTAGAAGTGTTCATAATTGTATTTGGTTAAAGTTTTAATACAGTCATTGGGTGCTTAGGGTAGGTCTGTCTAGTTTAGTGATCTCAGGGGTTCTGCTGTGTGGCCTCCAAGGCTTGAAGTAATTCACAGGCCTTCAGTTACTCAGGCCAAAGCCTTCTAAGCATAATGTTAAGCAACCTAAAGGGGTGTGCTGTTGAGGGCAGTATTTGGGGCTTGTTATTTTGGAATTAACTACCTGATTATTTTTCTAAATTTTGTTTTAGGTGTCTACACTGGGGAAAGGAAATTGGGTTCCCAACCAAACTCAACGGCGTTCATGCAAACTTAAGTAGTGCATCTCTAAGAAAAATATGGATTTGGGATCACATTCCACTTTAAATGGTAAGCAGTTGCCAAACGGTTATTAAATTAATATAACATAAAATGTCTACTATGTGAAAAGAATTCACATTTATGTCCAAAGGTGAAAACTTGTCTTGTTCCATAACTTAAGGCACTCAATTCCTCTTAGGTGTAAACTTTAAAAAATGAGATTTGCTAACTTGAAAGATTGGCATATTCAAAATTGGCATATTCTCCATTAGAATATAATGATGGAGATTTTAATTTTTCTTCACATCAATGTAAGCTTTTCATTCTCCTCCTGGCACGGCAAAATCTACAGATGTGGACAGAGGTCACAATATAGGCATTAAAACTGGTGCTGATAACATAAGAACACTGAATATTTTTAATGGAGAAATTTAGTAGCTAATTTGTGATCTTTAAAGAATTGGTAATGCTGCTTAAATTAGTTTTGACAATGGTTTACACAAGTGAAGTATTATAATGGTTTTTTAAGACTCATTCAAAACATCCTGCATTGGCTCACATTCCAGTTGCAGAGTATAGATTTATTAGTTTACCATTCTATATTTCCAGAAGGGTTGCCTAGGAACAGTTTCCCCATGAGCCTCATTAATTTTAACTTGTGACACCTTTAATGTCTGGCCATCTTTTTATCTTGGCAAAAATCAATCCAATTCATGCCTTGGGGAGCTAACAAATATTTTATACCCTGCCCCTCCCCTGTTAATAATTGAAAATGGTAACATATAATAATAAACCCAGTAGGAACCTGACTTCTAAAGACACCATTTTACAATCCAATTGGATTTTTTTAAATACAAGACAGCACTATTGTGATATTTTAATAATGTTTTATACATACTCGCCTATTTTTTTCACCCCTTTATAGTAGTGAACAGAGCAGGAACCAGTGCCACACAATCTTTGGATTTTTTTTGTGGCAGGAACAAGTGGCAAGGACAGCACAGACCAGACTGTTCAGGGAGACAAAGTATAAACTCCCTCAGCATGATCAGCTGAGGTGGATTTGTGGCACACCAGATCACACTTGCCCTTGCCATCTTGAAAGCTGATTGTGATAGAGAGTTTGCAAAACAACGAGAGAAAGACTTTGGAATGAAATTGAAGAAGAGTAGATTAATTAAATTGTAAATGGACATGTGAGTCGAACCGTTCTCAGTTTATGTAATAATGTTCAGAAAAATGCATTACATGAACCATGTTCTTCAGTTGGTTCCTATTGGTGTGGAAGGTGGTTGTTAAACATTAAATCAGAAGAGCATTTGTTGTCGCATCATGCCTAAATTATACATGAAAATATATTTTTTCTGAACCACCATCGTTTCATTAAATAGCCCTAACCATACAATAATATGATCGTGTTGGAGGCTTAACTTTATGGGGTTAAATTTAAAATTTCGCCTGTAGCTTTTCCACCCCTCTCTGGTGTAAACATCTGTGTATGCACAGCGTGGCGTGATGCACCTGTGGCTGCAGGTCTCTCCTGTTGTAGCTGAAGCCTTGGCCCTGCCACGGTCACCTCGCCCCGCTCGTTACCGTGGAGATGCAGTCGCAGGGAATACGGTGCCTTTGGAAACGCTGTTTCCAGGCTGCCGCGGCTCGGGGCGGGCGCGGCCATCGCGACGCTGCGCGGGGTGAAACCGAAAGTGCGGGGCTGGGGCGGGCCCGCGTTCCGCCCGCCTCCCGCGGCCCGCCCGCCCCGCTCCGCTCCGCGGCGCCCCTCCCTCCCATGAGCGCCCGAGCCGCTCGGCCTCAGCATGTCGGAGAGTTTCGACCGAACGCCGGGTGCCGGCCGGGGCCGCGGATGCGGCGCGCCGGAGAGCGGCGGCGGGGCCCGGCCCGCGGGCAGCGCGTCCCGCGGCTCGGGCTCGGCTGAGGAGCAGCAGCACCAGCCGGGCGGCCTCTTCCCGCAGCAGGAACCATTGCGGCCTCCGAAGACGGCGCCCCTGGGCACCGCGATGGCAGGTACGGGCTGCTCTCCCCGCTCTTTCTTTTCGCGGGGCACCTGCGCAGCTCCCCGCCCGCCGCAGGGGCACCGGCACCCGCCCTCGGGAGCGTGGTCCCGTTCCCGGGTGTGCGATGCGGGCACCGCGCTGAGGCCGGGTCAGCCTGGTGAGCCCTGGGGCCGGCGGACACCTGGGTGACTAGGGAGGGGTAAGAGGAACAAAACCAAAGAGAATCATGTGATGCATTGTACAGTCAGCTCAGCACCTGCTGACCGATGCCCAGCCTGTCCCTCAGCAACAATTGACAACTCCTGGCCAGCTCCCCCCCCGGTTTATATAGTGAACGTCACATTCAGTGGTACGGATTATCCCTTTGACCAGTTCAGATCAGCTGTCCAGTCTTTGCTGCCCCCCTGCTTCTTGGGGTTTCCCATGCTCACCATCACAGCATGGGAAACCCATGTTATCGATGCTTGCGTCCTACTGAATCCAAAACACAATGCTGTACTAGCTAGCAAGAAGAAGATTAACTCTGTCCCAGCTGAAACCAGCATACTGGGTTATGAACCTGGACCAGGTAAAGGATGTTGTATTGCAGCTGCTTGCAATACTCTCTGTCCTTTCCCCTCTTTTTTGCTCTCACATCTGAGTGTACTTTTTTATCCATCTGTTAATCTGACTGCAGATGGTCTCAGCCTTCCCCCACTGAAGAATTCCAGTCTATTTGCAAAAAAATAAACCCAATGCAACTGTAACACAAAGCAATGTTTGTTGGTTAGCTTTTTCAGGTAGGTATCAGGTTCTGTTTTCAATAAGCTTATGCGCTAGTCTGTAAAGAGTGGTTTGGAAAATAGTGTTTTAAAAACACTTCAGTTGGATGTTGTGGCACATGGTATATAAGAACGAGAATAGCCAAGTGTCCTTTCAGCATTTTGTTGAAAATAAGTGTTGGTCAAAATCAGTAACGTCTGTCATTTATTGACCTTCCAAATGTATCTTGTACCTGTATCTGAAATCAATGAAAAATCACAGGATAATCAGATAAGCAGATTTACTAGTTGCATAGGTTAACTTAGATAATGTGTTTACATGGAAAATAAGGTTTTTTTCCCTTCTTCCATTTTTTTTGTTCATCTGCACAAGACCACTGTTTACTTTCCATCATGTAGAAAGACATGTGGAGTGTGCTTAAATGAATATCCACACCTAAGAATAAGCAAAAAAAAAAAACCTATGTATTTAAAGGAAGTATATTTATAGAAAAACCATACTTTAAGTTTTATATATATAATTTTTTTTGTTTACTCTGTGTGAATACATACCAATTTAATGATTTTTAAGACAAGCTGTTAACAAAAATTTTTCAGAACACCTGCAAAGGATGGGAATTTCATCTGGATCTCAAGACAAAGTTTCAGTTCTTGATTCTGGACCAGAAATGACTGAACCTCAGTTAGCTGTGGATCCTGTTGCAACATCAAACTTGTCTGCTAAAGCACCTGAATTTTATCCATCAGGTTACAACCAGAACTTCAATCAGAATTTTACAGTGAGTGTTTTAACTTCTTTAGTATGAGCTAATTTACTTGTATTCAAATTAATAATATTTTCTTGATATCTTTTATGTCAGATAATTTGAATTCTGTATTTGCTAAGGTATTGCAAATATTCGGAATATAACCTCCAGAGTTGCAGCCAGGATGCTAAGTGATATTGGGTGAATATTATGATGTACATGAGCACCTCTGCTGTGAAATATTTTGCCAAAGCTTGTTGCAGATAACCATATTCCTTTTTGACTACACCAGGCATTGGTTGCATTCAGTATGAGAGTAAGCTGTTTTTTTGGTGACTACCACTGTTGTAGTTACATCTATACTGCATTTTAAATGAAAGCATAGCTTCACTCTTATGCAGAATTCACAGGGAGAGAAAGCTTGAACTTTAGGTTCTCTGAGCGCAGGCTTTGCCTTTCCTGAATTTCCTGCACCACAGGTACCATTCCTCATGACTGCCTAAGCTAGTGTAGCATCATGTGTCATCAGTGGTGTTGTATCACCGAAGGGCAAAAAAAGTTAACAGTTACCTACCAACACACCTAGTAAGAAATGTATTTCCAGCCAGACTCAGATCAGTTTGTAGATGCGTCGTGTAGTAAAAGCAGGTACTTCTGTTTTCTGCTCCGTTGTCTTCCATGTTACTGCTTCAGTAACTCTACTCCAGGCAAGATGTCTGTGAATTCTTGGTATATCCTTTTGTTATGCAAACAGTCAGACTATGGTACTATATCTAAACAGATGGGAACTTTTACAATACAATCAAGTGATTAAAAAAAAGAAAAGAGGGATACTGAGTCAAATTGATTTTTGATAACTGGTAGAAAAACACCTCATTTGAATGCTGAATATGGTGGTTTGGTATTCTGAAGTCTTTTCCTCACCAGTAAAATTTATGTTACCTTAGTGTTACCCACTTTGCCTGTTTACTGAATGTAATTACTGTCCTATATAATAAACCCCACAGCCAATACACAATATACAACTATTAATGCCAGTGTGAACGTATTTTGGTGAATTGATAATCTAGGGAAAAAATAACTGCTTTGCCCCAGCACTGTTACATGTTTTCTATAAATAAAATGTTTCAGTTTCAACACAAAGAAAAAACCCAAACAACCTTTCCAATAGCATACATACATACATACATAGCGCACTCTTAAAACTGCAAAGTTTCAATGCCAACAATGTTGCTTTTCAGCTGTTTTGCAAAAACACATGAGCATGTGGCAGTGCCTGGTTGCTATGTTGTTGGAATATGCTATGAATGTGACTCATCTATTAATAAACTACCTCTGAAAATGTTAGCAAAACTTATTGCAGGGAGTTTAATCTAATTAGAATATGATACACATAAAGCAGTGGTATTTTTCTTTCATTCTTCACTGTTAGAAAATCTGTTGTTTTTTTTTAGTTTAGTAACTGAAGTAATTTTATATACTGTGCTCACTTATCATAAAAATAAAAAATTTAGCACACTTTACAGTTACGGTGATTTTGAGCATGAGTTTCAAAATTTGAATCAAAACAAAGTTTTGAGAAACTTCTTTTTTTACTTTAATTAGTACTTAATAGGTTCCATTTGTAAAGATTCCTGAATTTTTAGATCTGAAATATTGTATTTCTGTCATTAAATACACAGTTGTTCTGCAATAGCAAAATAACATTTATTATTTTAAAAATAGTGTTGATTTCTTGTTTGACTATGCACCATTATAATTATTGTGTCTGTCCATGTAACATTTGCTATTAAGTCAGTTAATTTCCAGTCTTTCCAGTTTTTGATTCTCAAAACTATCAATTACCTGTGAAGATGGTTTAAGGAGTACAGCTTATAAGGTTTTGTATAATTTTCAGAACAACTTTACTGGGACTTTGAAGACAGGCCTCCATGAAATTCTCTATTTTCATACAGAGTCCGACCCATAGAAATTGTAGTTGTCTGCTCCAGAGCTAGCAACTAGATAGGTTTGAATTGCCAGTAGGAAACACCTGGTTTGTTCCTTAGAATGGCTGTATGACAATAATATGGCTGTCGCTCCATCAGATGGGCATAATGATGTTCTTACTTCATAGCTTTAGGAATGAGGTTTTTGTTGTTTTAAGGTTCCACAATCCTTCCCTCCCAGTTTTTTCATTTTTAACTTCTGTAATTTCCATCAGAAGACCAAGCATGAGAGTGCCTCTTAACCTCATTCAGCATGAATAGAGGTTTTTAGTTTTGAACTTGGGTTTGCAATAACTTTATTGGAAACTTGTTGAGTTCATTTAACTGAAAGGACAAAAAGCTTGTTCCTAAGAAATCTGAAGAAAAATCAATAAGTTGTTATTAGTGACTAAGTTCATAGGTGGAAATATTAATTTAGTAGATAAAGGAAAACAGCAATCAGTACATATTAAGAAACTGAGTAAGAGCAGATTTGTCTCATGAATCTTTGCTATAGACTTTGTTTCATCTTTTTGTATATCAGAGGAGTTCTACTACTTATTTAGCTTTCTACCCTTCTGTATGTAAACTCATGAATTGACACATAATAAAAGAGAGGAAAACCTATAATCTTTTCATCAGTTACTCTTTTGTTGTGAATAATCCAGGACCCCATCCTATAGCTATCAAAGATTAGAGAAAGAAATTGGAGCACTGACTTAATGGAGTAATTATTGAAATTAAGAGAAAATCTCTAGTTTACTTTTGTGGCTTTCAATTATAACTTTGTAGTGATGTGTAATCTTACAGGTTTCTGTTAGCCAACTCCTCTTGAAAAATAATCCATAGCCATTTGCTTTGTTTTCCTTGGGTTCATACATTGCGTGGTTCTACGTTAATGTTAAATTTTAAAATCTGACAATGAGACATGCAAGTACTTTATTTCTAGAAGTTAAATTTAATTGGATTTTAAGAAATCAATTATAAATAATTTTAATAAAGTTGTATATTTCTGAATTTCCAAAGTACTCATTTTTCTCTCCCATTTATTCAGTTCCCTGAAACCTAGACTTCTTTTGAAGTTGCATATATAGTACATGTAGATGAATATAGTGCAGAGTTTAATTCTGTGTTTAGTCTCATAATTATAAACTGAAGATAAGAGTATACAACAGGGACACTAGTATACCAAATGGCACCTGGGATCCCTTACAACACAAGGATGTTCTCTAAGACTGGATTCTTGCCAAGTGAGTGTGAGAGGACGATACCTTCCTCTCTGCTGAAGGAGGACCTTGTAGCAATCTGACGGCTGTCAGAAGGAGCAGCTTCTTTTACTAGCTACAGCAATTGCATGCTCTGCAGCCTGGCTGGAGAGTTTTTTGGAGAGATGCTAGTTCAGCTGTATGTGATTCAGCTGCAGTAGCTGCACGATAATAGTTCTGTGGAACAAACTGGTTTTAATTTTATTGTACAGAACTCCTACTGGCCTATTTGAAATTGCCTTATAAATGTTGATTTTCTTTAATGAAGCAGAGTATGTAGCAAGACATACATAGGCCTGTTAGCCTTTACTTTTTGGATTTGTAAGTTCCAAGCCATTAGAATCCTAGAAAACTTTAGCTTAGAAAGGACCTTTGAAGTGCCCATGCTCCAATCCTCAGGTTGTCAAAGGCTTTATGTAGTAATAATTTTCCTTTATTTCCATAAACCCATATTTTTTTTCATGTTTCTGGTGGGCAACAGTAAGTTATTTAGCATTTAGTGTTATTAACTGGCATATCTTCTAGGTAAATATATTTTACCTCTGTTACACTGATGTATGTCCCACCTCACTAACTTATGACATGTCTGAATGATTTTGGAAAGTCTGCTTTTTTACCCACACATTCTTCACAAGTCATGCAATAAATATCAAGGTGTGATTTTCAAGAATGTGTATCTTGTCTTTCTCATAGCTCATACTCAGCAAGAAATTTTTCACAGATCCATATTGCTTCTCAGTAGAGGAGAGATAGGCATTTAGAAGACAAACAAATTAAAAATCCCTATTAAGGGAGTAGAAGGGGAGGGGGACAATATAGTTACAACCCTTGTCAATATATTTATGTACATTAAGTAAAGAAAAAGTGCTTTATTTTAGCTCAGCTTTGCCGTGGATACCCTTTAAGCATTTTTAAATGGTGGAACAGTTGAGAATTTTGATTTTCTTTACATTTCTCTTATGTCTTGAATTGCTAATTGTAAGTCATATTTTTTAGAAGTGCCACTTCAGGCTCCTGCTTACTTTTCTGAAATGTATTAGGTGATTTACACAACCTGTTGTGTAGTGTGACAAAGTTATTTATTTGGACTGTGTTACTATTAGTGACATCACAAAGGATGCTACTTTCTTTTCTATTCTCTTGATATACCTGCATTATAATCATCTGGAACAGTGTTGACTTTAGGTACTCTCACATAGATTCATTTCTGAATGGACAAAAATTCTGTTTCATCAGTGGGAGCATAAATATCAATAAAGTGGTACTGGGTAGCCCCTCCTCTGTTTAGAGAGCAGTTGTGTTTACTGTCTTGTCTGGTTTTAAACCTCAGTAGCTGTAAATTAATGCAATTCAATTTGAATAGCTTCATTTCATGCCTCATAATCTTCAATCTTTTGCCAAGAGATAAAAATACTCTGACTTTAAAATAGCAGTTTTCCTGATTATACTTCTTATATGGGAACAGTACTATGTATTTATTGTATTTCTCTAATTACTCTTAACTTCTGCATATTTTTGGAGCACTGTACACGCTATCTAAGCCCAAAATACTTTGTTTCAAATTTTCCCTTCTTTTTACTTCTATGGTTCATAAATCCACAGTACAGTACCAGGAATGGGTGTTGAGCCTTAGTTTGGTAGTTCTACCCTTAACAGATAAACTTGGTTTGTTAGTTAATCTTACGACCAACTTGGAAAACTTATTTGTCTTTAATCCATTTTTCATGTATTTTACTGGGAGACCCTAATGTCTGTAAAAATACTTTGCCTGATTCTTAAGGTGATTGGAGGTTTCTGAAGTCTGTACTCCAGGAGGTGTTGGGGGTCTATGCTCTGTAAAAATGTTGAAGTGAACTGTGTAGTCCAGTATAGAGACTCAGAACTCAGTGCTGTATGGTTATTTCTGGAGACAGAAGGTGTAACAATTCTGCAAGGTTGTTTTTAAGGAGTTGGCATATTCTTTCACTTCTACAGGATTCTTCCTTTGAAGATAGATGTGATGGCTATCTGACTCTGGCAGAATATGTACAAGACTTCCTAAATCACCTCACAGAACAGCCAGGTTGTTTTGAAACAGAAATAGAACAGTTTGCTGAAACCCTGAATGGCTGGGTCATTGCAGATGAAGCTTTACAAGAGCTTGTTGAACTCATCTATCAGCAGGTAATGTATTACAAGATGGACATTATACCTCAGTTACCCAGTGTCCAAAATAGGCATTCCAGTATTTGTTCCATTATTGTATCAATGTAGTAATTTAATGATTGATATTTTTCCCCTTTAGACTGAAATATATAGGGAAGGATTTTGCTCAGTAAATTGAAATGGTAGCTCAGATTTCGGGTGCCTAAATTGTATATGTTTTCCCAGTTTGCTGTTTCCTTTGTTCTATGTTTGTTTCTCCTGGGTAACATATTACAATTGAAATTATGCTACTTAATTGAAGTATTTTTATTTTTGTTAGTAAAGATTGAAACTTATAATATATTGTACACTTTTATTATCTTGTGCAAAAAAAAAATCTTTATAGTCCTAAGACACTTTTAATTCCTAGGTATTTAAAAAAATTAAATTCATACCTACTGTGCACACCATCTTTTGGGAAATACCTCCTTTCTGCCAGGCTTTTTCTTTATTTGAAAATTACCTATTTCAGAACAGCATAATTGGAGAAAAGGAAAGCTCTTGTAAGGGTAACTAGTTCCAGCCCCATTGATGGCCATGGAAATGAGGACAGAGACCTTGAGCTGAACTCTGCACTAATTGGGGGAGCCTTTGGAAAGAACAGCTTAATATGTGTTGCTTAGCAAATGAGCTGCTGTTACTGTCTTTTGGGCTCACTGCAGAAAAGGAAGCCATGCTTCTGTCTGGCTCTTTATTATTTGTTGTTATCCCAACAAACCTTTCATAGGTTTGTTGCTTACAAGTTCTACCTTGAATAAAAGTAAGAAAGCAGACTTTTACTTAAGTGAAGATACCTGCAGAATATTTTAATCTGGTGTATGTAGAGATGGAATGACTGGTTGGCCATTGTACAGAACTGTAGAATCTCAGGTTTCTCATTATTATACAGAATTAATGCAAATTTAATTGAGACCAGTTTAGTTAGACATGATGATCACCTGTGCTGCATTAGGCAGCATCATTTTACCCTTCTTTATTTGAACCCGCAGAGGATAATTTATTGGAACGGAAAAAAGAGGATTTTATGTTATTTTTAACTTCATGTATTTTAAATACACTGACTTGCATTTAATAGAAGTCTTTAATGTTACCTCTTCCTCTCTGTCCCCCTTTAGAAGCAAAGCACTGGGGTTTACTGTGACTTCCTCAGCTCAGAAGTTCAACGTTAGTCTGAAAATTTTACATGAAAAAGTTACATGAAAAATAAATCTTAATACTGAAAAGCTGTGTTAGTATCCACAAGCATCTGATTTTAGATATCTTATGTATCAGGCTAGCATAGTGTGTAAGCAAAGCCAACTATACTTATTATTTTTCTTTCTTGAGACTCAAGCATTTGTCTCCTGTTTTTTCACAAAACAATTAAAATTGCTCTAACTTCTAAGCATCTGCTTCAGTGATACAAATTTGACCCAACTAACTAGATTTACAGATGCTAGGTTTGTAAAGGTAATTACTGAAATGTAATAAACCCATGTCCTGTAGGGTCTTCCCATCACTTCTATGTAAGGTATCTTAGCCTGTCTATAAATCATAATTATATACTTATCGTCTTATTTATGTCTGAACAGAGTGAAGTGACAGTTCTTTTGTGACAGTCTTTCAAAAGTTGGACACTGACTTCATAGTTTAAGAACCTTTACTGTTGTCTAGTTAATGCAGTGGATTGTTCCTGTTAGAGCAACTACAGTTTCCCAAGATACATGTTGGTAGATTAGCCTTCACGCTTAGATTGTGGCTTTTTTGAATTGGAGATAAAGTGGTATTACCAGCAATAATTGTTACAAGAATATAGTTTTGCAGTGTAATGATTGATTATTAGGAAGATATTTTTTTTGTCTGTGTGTGCTACACCAGATCATAATACCTAAAATTTAGTTATTTCAATGTTTGGTGTAACCACAAGTACAGACCAACTTAATAAGGAAGATAATGTTTAAAAAATACAACTGAAATTTGAAGAATTTTTGTATGTGTTTGGATGTTAAAGTTTTTGTTTGCTGGGGGTTTGTTGGGTTGGAGTTTTTTCGTTAGGAAAAAGTATTGAAAAGGCTCACTTTATAAAAAAAAAGGGGTACCTTTTCTAGTCAGAGCAACTGATTGAACCACAGCATCAAAGTCTTTTTGGGTAGTTGACATGCCCCTTACTGGAAAGTGAATTCCATTTGTCTATCTTAATTACTTAAACTTGTTGTATTTTCCAGAGACACTTAATTTTTTTTCCATTAATTTTTTTCTATGCACGTAGAAGAATTATGTCTTTTTCTCTATCTCTGAGAGGTAGCTAGGTATAATTGCATTAGCAAGACTTTTTTTTCGGTTCCAACAGAAAAAAATGTTCCAACGTGTTTTTTTCAAACATGTTGGAACAGCTCAAGCATGTAAACATATCTGTAGCACTGATAGATGATCAAGATGCAAAAAAATATTCAAAGATTATAACTCCAGAGGAGAAGTTTACTGAGTTCTTAGTATCCTCATTTTCTTTTGGACAGAGCAGGTGAAGTTATTTGCAGCAGAACCTCTTTTCACTGAAACTGCATCTGAGAAATAATCTGAAATTCAGGTGTTGTTAGAGGAGGCTTGAACAAAATAAATTTCCACCTCTTTAACGTTTGAATTATCAGATTAAAATAGAAGATTTTTTACACAATATCATTCCTACCATGTTTTTTTGCATGACAAAGGTGTAGATGTTCAACAGTAACAGGACTTGTTTTAGCAAAAAAAGGCTACATTGAGCGTGTTACTTGTAATGGTCTAGTCTTACTCTCTGATTCAGAAGTTTGCAATTCTGCAGATTGCTGGAGGATGTATGGGAGAAAGTATTTCTCTTTACTTGCGATGTTCTTACACTCTTTCCTTGGATATTAACCATGACAAAAAGTGATTATGGAATAAATAGCTTATAGACTGAAAGAAGACAACTTTTTATGATGTTGTTTGAATGTACTCATTGTTCCTTGAGAGAGTATGTGTTCTTAAAAAAGTGTCTTAATGACCACTGTTGATTTTTTTGTATAAGCATTCTGTAAGTGGCTTTGAGACACTCTTCAGTTGTAGGTCACAGTGCAGAAGTAGAGTTGTATGAAGACACGTGGCATAATGGTGGTTGTTTTCTTAGAGCCATGTAATTTCATAGAATTACAGTATAATGAGCTTTTAAGTTCTGCTGAAGTGCATATATCAACATGCTGAAGCAATACAAAAGTGAACATGGCAAATAGTAATTATTAATCATTAATTTTCTGCTCATGAGTTGTATGATCAGCATTAAGCATGGATTTCAAAAAAGCTTTTAAAAATATTTTCTGAGCCTAATCATTACTTTTATAAATAATTTATTTTTCCATTTTTATTTTGGAAGGCCACATCTGTCCCAAATTTTTCATACATGGGAGCCCGGTTGTGTAACTATCTGTCTCACCACCTAACCATTAGTCCACAAAGTGGGAACTTCCGACAGTTGCTGCTTCAAAGGTCAGTATCAGTCAGTTTAAGCCTCATTCTCTTCAGTTACATCTTTCTGGTATGTGTGTTAACTCTTTCTGTTGCATACGAAGAGATACTTATTTAAAATATTACAGATTGAGGAGTATCAAAACACAGGTACACGCTGAGTACTTAAAATATTTTAATATTTTTAAATACAAAAATAGGGCTCCATTTGAAGGTCTGTGTGATCTTTTGAACTGAGTATATTAGGCTGATCCCCAAAATAGTGCAAATTGGAAAGTTAATCTATTTTAAAAGTATACTAAATGCACATATAGGTACTGTCTTTGTCCTTTGACTCTTGCCAGTACGTACTTAATTGTGGTTTTTTAATTAGTGCTTTGGATTTTTGCCTGGAATTGCTGTGTAAGGTTTATTCACTGATAGGCTAACTGACTTTGTATCTAGGAAATAGTTGTATAAAATCCAGAAGGATAATTTTTTTTCAGTTTCAGTTGTTGCAAATTTCTGGGGACTGCACTTAATAATGATTAGACTTTGTAATTGACAAAAATGCAGCATTTTTCAATTGTTATATATCCTCTCAAATATTACTGCATGACATTTAAAGGAGTACTGTTTTAGACACTTCAGAATTCTTTAGAAATTTACCTTTTGATTTTTGTTTAAAGACAGCTTTTTGTTTAAAGACCAGCATTCTAAGCTTTGGGTTTGCCTCTTATTTGAAAAGTTTTTACTTAATCCAGCAAAAGTGTGGTAAACTTACTGTAGTGCATTCCAATGGTCTTTTATCATGAGTGGAATGTTGTGGTTTAACCTGGCAGGTAGCTAAACACCTTGCAGCCCCTCACTCACTTCCCTCACCCTCCCATTGAGATAGGCAAGAGATTTGGGGGCAGGAAAATAAGTATTCATGGGTTGAGATAAAGATATTTTATTAGAACAGAAAAGGATGTGGATATAATAACAGTGATAAAAGAATTAGCATATAGAAAACAAGAGGCACACCTTACGATTGCTCACCACCCACAATGCCCTGAGAGTTTCTGAGCAGCGGCCTCCAGAGCTTTCTCCCTGGTTTGTAGGCTAAGCATGAGGGCACATGGGATGGAATATCTGTGGGGTCAGCATGGGGTCAGTGGTGTCTCCCCTCAGCTTCACCCCAGCCTTCTTGCTGCTGGGCTGGGGTGAGAAGCAGAAGAGTCCTTGATGTAGTGCAAACACTGAGGCAAAAGCTAAAACCAGGGGCTGCAGAAGCTGAAGACACTAATTATTCTCTCTTTTTTTGGTTGTTGTTCTCCTTTTGTTATTGTTGTTGTTTGTTTATTTTGTTTTATTCTTTCTTTCAAAGTCATTGCTTATGATTTTTTTTAACTGTGTGTTACTTTGTTACTTGAACACGAAAAGAATTCCCTGTTAATGTTGCATTTTTTGCTTCTTGGTTTTGAAGCAAACCCAATTGATAACATTAATGTTAGCACCAGATATTAGTTTAAAGTTGCTTATGTTTTGCTTGCTAATATGGATGAAATTGAGAGTGGGGAGGGTGTGTGCAGATAAACAACCTAATAATGTGACCGCAGAGAGGTCATCTTCTGTTTCTCAACTAAGTCTCTACCTGAAACTTTGTATTTCAATTCTTAAGATTTTCCAGTTTCTCCACTTTTTTTTAATCCATTGCACAATCATTCAGAATACGTTAAAATTTGTCTGGGTTTCCTTTTATCTCAAATATTTTTTAATTTTTTTTTTTGTACTGTTATGTAAGCTTGTGTGGTTTGGCACAGTTGCTAAATACTAGAAAAATTACTTCACTGCCACAGTATGTTAATCCTATTTTTGTATTTATATTTAAATTACAGAATCATAGAACTATTGGGTTGGAAGAGGCCTTAAAAATCATCTAGTTCCAAACCCCTCTGCTAGACCAGGTTTCTCAGAGCCCCATACAGCCTGGCTTTAAACACAGGGATGGGGCCTCCACAGCTTCTCTGTGTGGAACCTGTCTCGGTGCCCCACCACAGTCACAGTAAAAAGTTTCTTCCTAACATCTAGTCTAAACCTGTCCTCTGTTAGTATGAATCCATCCCCTCTGTCCTGTCACTACATGCCAGTGTGAAAAGTCCTTCTCCCGCCCTCGTTGGGGTCCCTTTTAGGTACTGGAAAGTGCTATAATGTGTCAGGGATGCCTTCTCTGCTCCCTGCTGAGCAGTCCCAGCTCTCTCAGCCTGTGCACACAGGAGAGCTGCTCAGGGCCTGTGATCAGCTTAGTGGTGTCCTCTGGTCTCAATATGTTTGTGTCCTCCCTGTTCAGTGGACCCCAGCTCTGGATGCAGTGCTTCAGGTGGGTCTCAGCAGAGCAGAGGGGCAGAATCCCCTCCCTCCCCTGCTGCCCATGGGGCTCTGATGCAGGATACAGTTGGCTTTCTGGGCTTCAAGCATGCACTGTCATATTGATCTTCTCATCACACCCCCAAGCCCTTATTGGCAGGACTGCTTTCAACTACCTCTCTGCCTGAGCTGTTCTTATTGCTTGGGATTGCCTTGACCCATATGCAGAACTTTACACTCGAACTTCATGAGTTGCACAAGGCCACCTCTCAAGCCTGTCAGGGTCCCTCTTGTTTGCCATCCCTCCCCTCTAGAGTGTCACTTAACATCGCTCAGCTGGGTGTCATGAATTATGTATTACTGTCACTTAACATGGCAAGATAAAGAATTAATGAAATAAGTGTAAAGACATCTAAGACAATGTGGTAAGCACCCTGAAAAAGGGAACGTGTCTACTTCATTTCTTTGGGTATTGGCTCCCTGTATTACTGTTGCACATCCTGGACCCATATTCAGTTGTAAAAATTGTGTAACTATTAATTTCTACATGTTGTAAGTTGTTCTATTTAATTTTACTGCATCAGATATCTCAGTGCTTAAAGACTTAATCATGTAATCATATGTGTTTCTCTAAAAGGATGCAAATCCACTGTTTCTTTGTGAATGCCTCTTATTCCCTTCACAGCAGATCATAGATCCCAACTTTCAGCATGTAACAGTTTTCATGCAGTTCATAAGTTCTCAGCATTCCTTTAAATGAGTACCATGTTACATTTGTTGGAATGGCTACAGATGGTGTAATTGTGCTTTGATTTTTACAGGTGTCGAACAGAGTATGAAAACAGAGATGAAGCTACTAAAGGGGATGAGACTACTAGAAAACAATTTCATGCCTTTGTGCTGTTCTTAGCTGAACTTTATCTTAACTTAGAGGTAAGAAGAAGGTCGGCTGTCATGTGGCTCTTCACTGATTTTTTGGTGTGTGTAGGTAAACACTGAAGTGGACTATAATTTGAGGTGTTTTTCCAAAGGCAGAGGGCAGTAAAGTAAAAGAACTTTAGAACAGTTTCATTATGATAGATATGTCCAAGAAATATATAAACAAAAAAGGACAAGATCATTAGAAGAGAAATGTATAAAAATGAAAATGTAAGAATTTGTGGGAAGAACCAACCACAAACATCTTTGAAATGAAGCTTTTATTTTCTTTTTTACTGGCAAAACCCCTAGATGGCTATACTTAACCAATATATTAAATGTTATTAAATGCCTAGCAGAAGCAGATCAGGATGAAAAACATGTAATTTTTTTCAGTATTCAGGTGCTAATAAGAGGTGTTAACAAACACCTGAGGCAATGTGAAAATCCTCAAAATGAGGAATTAAAAATGCACACTTTTAAAGGTACTTCTTCTGATTGTTGAGTCATTGGTGCATGCAATCTTGTATTTAGCAACTTCATGCATCTGTGATATGTTCAAAAATGTGTACAATTTTTTTTTATTTTTATGCCTATGCATTCACCAAGTTCACTTCCTGCCTGTAGCGTAGTTAAAAATACACATATAACTTGATTGTTTCAGTGGTTTGATTTAAGCAAACACTATAAAAATATTCGGCTGGCATGAGGAAGATCCTTCTCTAACTCTTCCATTTCTGGACCATAAGTGGTCCTTGAAATCTATTTTTCACTTGCTAGATGAAAACAATGAAGATTTTCAAAGACTTTGGGACAGGGCAAGTTGTTCGTTTGTGGAGTATGCCATAGTCATTGGAGTATAACTTTGGTTTTAAACCATTTTCTGTAATTTTTTAGTTATATAAAGACTGCTTTCTAGAGCTAAGCTACCACTGCTGTAGAGAATAGGCAACGCAGTGTGGAAAAGAGCGTGAGGTTCTGGGAATTTGGTAATTTTTGGACCATTAGGCAGGCACTTGGTAGCTTTTCTTATTTTAGCAGAGAAACAAAATTCTAGACATGAATTGTTATGCCAGAATTGCAAGGAAATTACTCAGTAAGTTTTCCACTGACACTGAGCTGTGTGGTGTAGTCCATGTGCTGGCAGAAAGGGATGCCTCCCAGAGGGACCAAGACAGGCTTGGGAGGTGGGACCATGCAAACAAGGTCAAGTGCAAGTACTCATCTGGGCCAGGCACAAATACAGGCTGGGTGGGGAATCAGTCAGAAGCAGCTCTGCTGAGAAGGGTTTTGGGTGTTGGTGGATGAGGACCTCAGCATAACATGCATCAGAAGATGTATGGCCACCAGATTAAAGTAGTTGATGACCTGAATGATATTTAAAGTCCCTTCCAACCCAAACCATGCTGTGATTCCATAAAAGTCTGTGTTCTAAAATGGTTACAGTATTTGGCACATAGATGTCAACTATATTGATCACAAACCAAATAATACAGCATTCAAGAGAGAAAATGTGCCCAAATTAATTTCTAAGAATTTAAATATTGGGGGGTTTCTTATATGTTTTGCAGGTTAAGGGAACAAAGGGACAGGTTACACGGGCAGAAATTCTTCAAGAAGGCCTTCGGGAATTACTGAATGCACTCTTCTCTAATCCTGTGGACAGTAATTTGATATGTGCAGTGAAACTGCTGAAGGTGAGACAGTAGTTTTAAAAGGAAAAAAATCATGTTTTTTAAACTGTCTAGCTTTAATATAGGGAATAGTTGGCTAAATTGCAAATGAGAAAGTATTTACAGGGGTTTATGCATTACAGCGTTAGCAGAGCAAACTGCTATTTTTGTTTTCCTTAGTACCATTAGGAAATTGAGCCAGCAAAAAAAGTAACAAGATGCTCTAAAAATAAATTCAAGGCCATTTGTGTACAAATGAGCATTAGAACTGAAGTTGAGGTGCCAAAAAATAAATTTTTCCTCTAGATCAGATTTTGCTGCTTCTGGTGTAGGAGAAAACTGTAACATGTCTGAATGAATTGTGATATCTTAGGTATGCTCTGTGTTCTGAAGGACACCTGGCCATTGGGGTCCACCACTTTTTGTGGCAAAAGGTCCTTAATATCTCTTTCTTCTTTCTGTGCTATGTCATTACTATTGTAGAAATATAGAGGTTTCTCTTTCATGTGGAAGATAAACCTCTTTGCTCATAACCCATAGCTTTTCTTGTAAAATTGTTAGCCTTTATGTAGGAGAAACTCTTATCTTCACTAGGTATCATTATACTTGTAGTTGGGAAAACAGTTTAAAATAGGAATGAAGGTTAAATGCTAAACAGTATTTTCCTGAAGATTTTGATTGGCTTGGTTTTTTTCCTCATTCCTTACCCTTCCCTCATATTCAACTGCTTCTCAACCTGCTCTATCTTGAATTTAATTTCTGACAGTTTCTATTGATACCATAAACATAGAGTAGAGAAAAGAGACTTTTGTAATTTAAAACCTTTATTTGACGTTTGGATGTTTAAGGAGGTTGCTTCACAGCAAGTGTGAGATTGTGCTCAGTGAGCACATTCACTCCTGTGGTCAGTCCTTATGTTGTCAGTGCTTCCCTGAGGCAAGGCCCACTGAAGAACCTTTTTAAGCAGCAATACAGAAATCAGGAAGCTTTACAGTGCAGTAAAGAAGAAAAGAAGAAAACCAGTGGTCTAAATTGTTTTATGACAGATTGCTATATCTAAACGGTGTTACAGAACAGACACTCTTTCTTTTCATGCAAATGTTTTCTGATGTTACATAGAATCTACAAATGTTGAGTATATACGTAGCTAGACTGGCCTGCCTCATGAAACCTTGGCTTCACTACTGAAGCAATAAATGTCTCATTTTGTCTTTTCCATTTTATACAGTGATAGATACAGGTTTTTCTCTGTTTGCTGTGCAATATGTTTTTTTTAATTAATCTTAATGCTATTACCTCATTATCCAGGATTAAGGTGAGACCACTGTGGGATACTATGAATGTCAAGCAAATGCTTACCAATATACTTGCTTTTCTCTTGGGATTTTATCCTTTGTATCATCAAGCACCATTCCAAGCATTTTTGATCATGTATTTAGGCTGAGGAGATTGCTGCTAGTGGCAAACTAATTATTTTTCTGATTTAACTTCTCCTGTACAATTATTGAGTAATGAAGTACCTTTCTTGTAGTAAAAAGCTTTCATCCACAGCTGCTCTAGACTGAGCAGCTGACTGCTCCTGCTAAAGCTTTCCTGGCAGCAGTTCTAGCCTCATACACTTTTCTATATTAAAGTTCAGGCTGGCTTCAGATAATTCTGGTTTCCCTTATATATACCCAGAAGAAATTCTCTGGCATGTGTGATGCTGGCCAAGTTGACTGAAGTGTTTCTAAAGCTCAATAAAGTATTTCCTTTCCTTTCCATGACCAGTTGTCATGTAAACTGGTGGAATCAGCTGCAAAAATAAGATTTAAAGGAAATAAATGATGGTAGTATGTACTTAAATCAAGTAAGATCTGCCCAATGTCACTGAAGAGTTGTTTCGAAATTGTATTTCAAGAATGGAACAAGTGGCTGTGAACTTCTAGGTAACATAAATATTGGACATGAAGCTCATATAGTGTCTGTAGTTTAAAATAAACTATGTACGAGGTCTGTTAATCTGTTTAGCAAAGAGATACAGGCAGCTGGGAGTGTCAGCCATCAGGTAGTTCAAGTGTCATGAATTGTTACAGAATCTCTTAAGTTGACTGTTTATTAAGGATATCTAATTAAAAAAAAAATACTAATCCCTTGTCTTTAGTTGACAGGTTCTGTCTTAGAAGATGCCTGGAAAGAAAAAGGAAAGAATGATATGGAGGAAGTGATTCAAAGAATTGAAAATGTTGTGTTGGATGCAAACTGTAGCAGGTGAGAAGAGAAGTTTATGTGCAGTGTTTTGTTTATATGAAAAAGAATACCTTGAAAAAATCATCAACTATAATGAAGAGGGCAAAAAAATTCTCTTTGAAATTTATAATTATGAAAATTAATGTGTTGTGTGTGCAGGTCATTTTCCATGTAAAAAAAGGTGGTGTTTTTCAGTTGAAGGGTAATGTGGCTTTTTTGGCAGTTGGGTTGATTTTGTTTTGAGGTGGGTTTTTTTGTATTTTATTTTTAATAGAGATTCAAGTTCCACTATTCAGTTAGGTTTTTTAACCTATTAGGTCTCAATATCTTCAGTGAGTGCTTTAGGCTCTTAAAGTCAGTATATACAAAGAGAAAATAGGGGCAACATCTCATAGTTTATACTTTTCATTTTGAATTGAACAGGCTTAAATACCTACAAAGAGTACTAAATATGTAGCAGTATTAAATAGATACAAATTATTATAAATGTAAAGGCAAAATGAAATATACTTCGTGGTTTGGTTTTTGTTTTTTTGGGTTTTTTTGGAGAGCATATCTTTTTGGCAAGGTTTTAGCTTTAATCTGGGAAAAAAAGAGTGGTTGAGTAATGTATTACTAATATATTAGTGACTGACTAATCATGAAATTGTCATAAAACCACCTGAGTGCATGACATTATCTGATTCTTCTGTGCTTCATCCTCAGCTTCTTGCAAACTTACTATAAACCTGTAGAGGGCTCAAACACTGATCTCTTGCCATTTGGAGGGAGGCCAAGAGTGGCTTATAACATCTGTGGGTTGTAATTGAGCTGCCCAAGGAGGATGTGGAAATTTTTGCTTCAGGAACCAGAATAGATGGCACAAGCTGAGGCCTCAAAGATGTAGAGCAACAAACAAGTTTTGATGCCTTTTTGCTGGTCCTAAAATCATGAGATAGACACAGTTAGGTGACAAAAAGGGCTTATCTTACAAGGATCCTTAGGTGCTCAACTCACTGGGTGGAAAAGAGCTGAAGATGGACACCCAGTATAATGTGTAGACAATGTCTGTATGTTTAGCAAATTAGCATAACTGACAGGGATCCCAAGGTAGAGACATAAGTGGTGAGATAATTCCCCCCCAGGGCAGCCCTTTCTGAATTCCTCCCCCCCCTCAGATAGGAACTAAACTTTGTTTATGAAAATGTGTCTGGGACAGCTGGTCTCAGCCTTGGCTTTCCGATAATCTAACCCTGCACCACCAGCTTGGAGCTGCTGGGGAATTTCTTCTGTCTTTCTGTGTAATATAGTAGATAAAATGCTATCTGCAAATACTGTAATAGGCTATGGAGCTATAAATATGCATGTAAAGAATATAGAGAATCTATAAAAAAAAAGGCAAAAATAAATTTGGCATCAATTTCAGGTGGGTTTTTTTTAATGTATTCTTTAATGATACACTTCTCCATAGACTAGCTTAAAAGAAGAAGAAATTTTCTTTTATTGTAGGGATCAAATGCGTGTTGATATCTAATGTACTGGGGGCATTATGTCTTACTTATGACTAAAACATTTCATTATGATGAAGAAAACTAAAGTTAGGAGGATAGAATAGATAACTAAAATAAAATTCAAAGATAATCTTCCTTTTTTCCCCAGTATTATCCTTTATCAAAAAGGATTGTGTTCTTTAACTTGTATTGCAAGGTGTGGTATCTCAGTAAAAATTCCTTTTTCAAGTGAGTTCCCTACTTAACAGCAGAGGAAGTGAAGAGGTTGAATATCTCATTACTGACACATAAAGCATCTAGACTTGCAGTTGTAAAATTGAATGCAAAATTATCTACACAATGGACCAAATATTATCCTTCTTGAACTTGTTTTTTTGGATGGATTTAACTATCCTGTATTTGCACAGTAAGAGAAGCCAAATTTCTTGCTTGGCACAAAACATTCTAACTTTGGTAGTGCTTCTCTATTTCAGAGATGTGAAACACATGCTTCTGAAACTAGTAGAACTGCGATCTAGTAACTGGGGTAGAGTTCATGGAACAACTCCACATGCAGAAGCTACCCCTGAAAATGACCCAAACTATTTTATGGTAAGAATATATGCACAATTCAGTTCCTTAATTTAATGTGAATTTGGTTTGATTAATAGACAATTGCATTACTTGCAACTGCAAGCCTCTTTCTCTCTGAATACATATAACTTTCTGGATGACTTTATTTTTAGAATGAACCAACATTTTACACTTCTGATGGCGTTCCTTTCACTGCAGCAGACCCAGGTATGGCACAAGTTTAGGTTACCTGTCTTCTCAGTCTTCTTTAAAAAGTTGTAATTAAGTTTACAGCCTGTTGAAGAACATAAAATGTTACTCTTCAAGAATCTAAAAGCTATTCAGCTTAAAAGACAAAATTCTGCCTGAATTCCTGGTGGAGCACAGGATTTATTCTGTGTTAAAGAAGGTAGATGTTTGAAATGGAGAATGTGCATTTGAGTTCATATAGGTCAGAAGAACTTGTTCAGTAATCCACAGCATCTGACCTTTCCAGAAAGCCAAAAATATTCAAGTCTTCTTTTGTTTGTCCATTGTTAGTATCAAAATCAAATCAAAATCCTTGGTTTCCTTATGTGTAATCTGAGCACAACGGGGCACAACATCATTTGTGGTAAAGACATCTATCACAACCTTTACAATTCTATGGGAAATTGGGCATCATTCTTAGACATCCATTCGTGTCCTCAGAAAACATTGCCAAAGGATCTTTTCCTGTTAATACATTTCCTGCCTTTTATGATTTCGTTAACCAGCCAATTTTCAAACTTGATATATTTCTGTTAATTTAGCAGAGTAGTCTTCTACATTACTCAGTCTCATTTTTACTTTGCCAGATTATCAAGAAAAATACCAAGAGCTGCTTGAAAGAGAGGATTTGTTTCCATATTATGAAGAAAATGGAGCAGATCTGTCAGGACCTGGAGAGCTGTATGTTTTCCTTTTAGTGACATATTTTTTTAATAATATTTATTTTTACTGTGATGCAGTGATAGTTCAGATTTAGGATTCCAATGTTGACAAAAATGAAACTAAATAATGTAATTGTTACTTAGTTCTACAGTGAATGTATTTGTTCAGGTTTAAATTGGTTTTTAATCACACAAGTTTGAAACCTATTTCATGTTTATTCTGCTGAGTATGGTAATTACATTTCAAATGTAATTTAGATGTTTGTGCACATGTGCAAACATACTTCTGCACTTAAGAAAAATTTGCCAGCAAAATGAAGCACCAAGCCTTCAAGTGTTTGTAGAGAGGCAAACTAAATTTGTTTGACTGATGTGCATGAACATCCCAGCAAGAGATGATTACCAAATTTCCAGTGTCTTTGAAAGGGAGAAAGTGTTAACTTTCTCTCTTCAGCCTAAGGACTATTCCCTTCAATTAGAGGACTAGTCAGTATTCCTGTAGAGCAAGAAAAAGCAACCTAATGGCAAAAGGGGAAGCAATAGTTGAGAACATAGCCGGACGTTTTGGCACCAGAATATAGCCAGACCAGTTTGGCACCATTATACGAAATATGGTCTAAAATAAATCGCTCTGAGCTTTTTGCTCACTAAAGAGGACTTTCAGACCAGTATTTGACACACAAGAACATTTTCAATGTTGTTTTTATGTGTGATAAGAGTGCAGGCCTAGATCAGTATTTTTTTAGTACATTAGAAAACTTTCAGTATGTACCTAGCTGAGGGGAATGTAAAGAACATGAAGAACTGGAAGATATATTAGAGATGTCATCAGAAATCAACAAGCTCATACTGAAGGGAAAAAAGGACACATTTGGACCTCTGCTTAGAAGAAAAATGCAAATTGAACACAGACATCCATTAAAAACACAGCAAATCCTAAGAGTGTCATTTAGAACACACTGAGTCAACCTTCAAGCACAGTGACTGTAACCTTCTTTGTTGAAGACTTAAGAAAAGCTTAGATAAATGTCTGCTGATTCTCTGTCAGCTATTTCTTATGACATCAGGGAGGAGGGCTCTTTGTGAAGCCCCTTTCTTCTGAAGGCTACATTTGTACAAGAACAAAGGAACACATGACAAATATGTAGATTGCACATCACTTTGGAGCAAAAAAACTTCCTTACATATTTTCTATGTCCTTCTTTTACATATCAACAAACAGGAATGCAGTGTTTCTATATTAATGTATTCTGTCTTTGAGCTAGGATGTTGACCAATCAAAATTACACTAATATGTTATTAATTATGGTTTTTTGTAATTGGATCAGTACAGATGCATTATTAAATTTTCTATCATGTTGGAAACTTTAGGTGCTTCTGTCTTTTAAACTGGGCTGCATAAGATGATCTGAAAAGGTGGCAAACACTGTAGGTATTTGAACATATCTGCTGCTTTGAGGTTTCTGTTTATTTGTTTTCCTAGTATCCATTATTTTTTTCCTTTTCATTCCCTTTAGGAAAATGTCATAAATAACAGTCATTTATAAAGCTTTGTCTTATTCTTGACATCTACACAAATTCTAAAAATCTGTTGGCTCTGAAAATCTTTATGTAAATCTGTATGTAAAGTGTTAACCTTTGGTCATTTTTTCCCCCCTCAGGTATTTTGATGAGATTGATGATGAGATGGATCCAGAAATTGAAGAAGCATATGAAAAATTCTGTCTAGAATCAGAACATAACAGAAAACAGTGAGATGTTATGTATTAATGTTAGTTTATTTAACCATTATAGAGTGAAGGGGGACACAAAACATTTTTACCAAAATGAGAAACTTGAGTTTCTCCAAGTACTAAAGTTACACAATTTTATCCATTTTAACAGAACCTGCCAAAAAATGTAAACCTATACCCTGTAACTTAAAATGTTGTGTATATACCATAGTTTATTTTGTGAAAAATGTTTTTTGAACAATGTTTTGGCTGCAATAAAAATTATTTAAAAGTTATAATTGAAATTAAAATTTAATGGGGAACTGTCCCATAAAACTTCCCTTGAGGAAGAATGGGAAAGAATAATGATCTGAATTTGCTTGCTTGTTTGCTTTAGTATATATTGGGATTTACTCATCCTATTTACCATATACACTATGTCTTGCATTTACTTCCTCCACTTCCCCCTCCAAGAAGAGTATGATCCAAATAAGCAAGAAAATTTCTTTTCTGTATATCACAATCATGAAAAGTGGCTTGTGAAAGTTTTGTGTATGAGTTTTTGTTTTGTTCATTTCCTTTTTCTTCTTCTTTCAAAACACACATGGGTGAGGTCTGGACTTTTCTTTTTTCCTGGAATAAATATGTTACATGTTGATATGTGAAAAAGCAAGCAGTATTTTGGAAGTGAGGTGCTTTCAAGATTTTTGGTTCAGATAAGCTTCATATCTACAAGAAAAAGCTATTCTGTAATTTGTTGTGTTCTTCAAGGCAATAGTAATACAGTTATGTTCTAAACCACGCTTCTCAAGAGTATGTGCAGTGCTTTTTTTCTTTTGCTTTTTTTTTTTCTAGTAATGTATCTAACATGTCTAACCTTTCCCAACCCCCCGTAACTTTCTTTTATTCTTCTAATTTTATGTAGTTTGATTTAATTTTGTACTTGGAGTAAATTCATATATTTTATAAATGTTAACATTCTGAAGCCAGCTGTTCTTTTTTTGACTCCATATAATCATGTTAGTTTTCCTAGGATACTCCATTGTTGTTGTTGCCAAACTCAGTTGAAGTGTTTCCTGTTACCTGTTGCTGGTTAGACTTGATTAGAAATCGTTACCAAAACCAAACACAAGTATTTCCCAACAGTTAGCTACTCTAAAGAACACGCATTGTAAATATGCATGTAAATAATTCTGATAATATTTCACTGTTATTTGTTTGGTTAAATAAGTTGTGCATCTGCTAGTAGAGTAAGCAGTGGCTGTTTTCTGGATGTTTATTTAACATACTTATTTAGGCTGGAGTTTTGGAAAATAAAATTTAACTAGCTTTATTTCCTTTGGTATAATATCACTACCTTGTCTTCTTGCTTTAAAACAAAAATTATATTTTATCTTCTTCTATCTTTCCTTCACTGAGCACTCCTTTCTCTTCTTCAAAGTATACAATTGCAGAGTCTATTATCTTTTGATTCTTGCTGGAAAAATAAAATGTATCAAAATGCAGTATGCTCAGAAAGACTGTATTAGCATTCCAAAGTCTTTAGACTAAAAGTCAGAAACTAGAAATGTGAGAACTAGATGACTTTCAAATACATATTCTCTAAGTTGAGCACAATTTTCATACAAAACTTTTAATCTAAATACAGGTCAGACTTTCTGCTGGCTTTACAAGCAGATGTCTTGTGGAAATTATTTTTATTCAGAACTTATAATCCCAAGGAACAAGCATTCATATATGCTTTACAGTAAGGTAACAGTGACTCAAAGGGACATGCATTTTACATGTTTTAGTTTTGCATGATTTGTGGTGAGTCATCTTTTTCTGTCAGGTAGCTGTCAACTCCAGATGTACTGTCAGCTTGTGGAAACAGTAATTTTATGAGTAGATAAGAAGCATGCCAAATCCTGGGGTAGAAAAAATCAGGAACTGTATATATAGAGAACAGCTCAAGTCAAGTTTGCAATGCAAGGTTTTTCCTTCACTGAAAATATTAAAAATCATAAAGTGAGACTTTCATTCAAACTAGTGTAGAAGTTTATAGTCTGTACATATGAACTTTGTAGGTGCTTTCAGTCTTTACTGCAGCAGGGAAAAATTGGTTTTAACTCTGTCCTGCTGCATTAAAAAAACAGGATAATATTTTCATTAAACACTCAAGTATTTCCCACTTATCTTAAATCTCAAAGAACTTCACTACAAGCTAGTGAATGTGAGAGAGTAAAAGAAAGCAGCAGGTTTCTCACTGTCAGGATGCCCTTTGCTGCTTGTCTGCCCACACCTAATCACCCATTGTTCTGTGTATGATAGAGATAAGTCACGAGAGGTTTAAAAGTTATTTCACCTGAATTTTAGCATTTACAAATTTCAAATGCAATGTGTAAAAGTGTTTCTCATCTACAGGTTTCTGAACAATGCCTTGCAAATATACAACTTTTAAAAAATTTGTGTTTTTTTAATGGCATAATGGTAAATCAGTGAAGGCACAGAAGCATGGAAAGCAAAATTTGTGGGAGATGTGAAGCAAGATTCTTTAGCACTGGTTCTGAAAAGAAACAGACTTCACATTCAAATTTGAGCATGAGACCCAGGCTTTGCAGATCAGTAAAAGTGTGCACACTATTTCCCACTCTTAACAAATTATTATGATTTAGCAAAAATGTTTAGTATTTGAAAATTACACTTCGTTTGAAGGAATTTCAAAATGGGCTGCAAGAATTGCTGCTTTGCATGTGCTTTGCTGTTGCATGATTTTCATATCCAGAAATGCAGCTTGTTCTCAGTATTTCCCTTTAAAATCTGCAAAGAAGTTCTTGCTAGTAGCCTTTGTCTTTCTTTTTTTTTTTTTAACAGATGACATCACTGGGTTTTAACTGTTGGGTTTGAGAATAATTGTACCATTAGAGAGAAGCAAGACTGGCCCAACCACATGCAGTATCACAAACTGCACATAGCTAGGTTGTTTTCTTTTTTCAGTAGAATAATCTGTTGTGGCACTGAATGTTAGTGACACTCGGTCTGGTTTGTACTAGTAATCTTTATTTTCCACTGGGACATTATTTCCTTATCACATTCTGCTTTTCCTTCCTACTGCACACAACTCATTGAATTACTGACAGCTGAAGTTTCCAACTTCTCCCTGACTGAATTATAGTTCTAATCATCCAGTTATCCAAATCATCTAGTTGATACCAGACCAGAAAATGGCATTCCAGCCAAAACTCAGGGAAGATACCATACTGTACCCTGAACTGCTAATTTGCCACCTCTACTTCAGCCTGTGTCACCTACTTCCACAGTTCCTATGCTGAGGGTTCCAACCAGGGCAGTGAAATTGTGAGCAAAATGCAATGCATCATCCATAAATAATAGTATTCATAACTCATTCATAATCCCAATATATACTTTGAAACTTGCTTCTGGCAACTACTGAACAGAATAATACTCATTAAAAAGGGGTATTCTGAATAGAATCAGGGTATTTTGATGCATGGCTGTGTCAGCAGCCACTTGACTGGGTGTTGATCTGCTCTCTGCTGAGACAACAGCTGTCAAGAATGGAAAACTCTACTGAATGCAGTCAGTCGACCTGAGGAACCTGTACTTCTCTAAGCAGGTTAGGGAGCTAAGAGAGACCGTATGGACTAGTGGGGATATTCAACTCCATTTGCTAAGGGCTGGGAGTGGGGGTTGATAATTGTCACTCAGCTGTGAACTGTCAAGCCACTTCAAACAGCTTTGATTAAACTGTAGGTGTGGGTGGAGGGTGTGTATAATAATAAAAAAGGCAACTGTCATCATGTTAAAATTGCCCTTTGGCATCTTGGCCTTTCTGTTCAGATAGGGCTTCTACCTCCCAGTCCTAGGTACAGAGCTGTGTGTTGGCTCACGGCGCCATTTTCAGCAAATAAAAGATTATTTTAAAATTTATTAAGGAAAAAAAAATTACAAGGACACCGTGAGCAGTTCCCTCAAGCTTATTTTACAGATGTGTGTGCGGAATGCGCTCATCTTGCCTGAGGGATCAGGAAGGCGCGGTTACCTCACCGGCGGAGTGAGCTGGGGAGGAGCTCGGTAAGAGATCAGGTCGGCAGCACATCGGGAGAAGCTCGGGGGAGTTTGGCTGGAGCTCGGCGGCAGTTGGGGCGGAGCTCCGGCGGGAGTTCAGGCGGAGTTCGACGGGAGCTCGGGGGCGGGGCTCCGGTGGAAGTTCAAGCGGAGCTCGTGGGGGAGTTGGGGCGGATCTCCGTCGGAGTTGGGGCGGTCTCTCCGCTGTTCCCGCCGTGCGGCGGCGCGGCCTCTTCAGGCTCCTCGGTCCGGGCGCCGTCCGCGGTTCTGGCTCTGCCTCCGAGCGATGGAGGCGGAAAGGCTGATGGTGCTATTCGGGGACGACTCGGTGGAGGTGCACTACGCGGGAGGGTCCCGCTTGCTGCTGTCTCCTTGCGGCTCCGAGTATCTGTACGAAGCGGCGCTCCCCGCGGCCGCCCACTCGCTCCAGCCGGCGGAGACCACCCGCCAGCGGGTCGCCTTTGTCGTCAGTGCCTACCGGGTATGCGGTAGGCAGTGCTTTTGGGGACGGGAGCGCTGTCCCTCGTCCCTGCGCCGTCCCGGGGAGCATCCCTTGGGCAGTGCAGCATTTGCCTCCCTGCGCGGAAACGGGCCGGCCCGGGAATCACGGCTCCAACGGGAGTTCATGTTTCTCTCTGTAAAAAACGGAGCGGGTTTCATAGCCTCGCCTCCACAAAAAGTGTGAGATCAGCACAAAATGTTATCACTGCATGTAAAAATCGTAATAGGGTTTGTTTTTCTCTGCACTTAAACAGGAACAACTTCTACGAGCGCTAGATTTCCGGAACGCGTTTTCTTCTCGCCCATACTTGCCTTCACGTCTTATACCTCCAGAAAGAAAAAAGGTGGTATTGCACATTAGGCGAGTAATGCTTTCATAAAAAATTTATTCAGCGGATTTAATATAATTTCACATGCCTGTGTGTGAGTACAGGCCGTGAAGATCTATCGAATGCAGTTTGGCTAATGGAGTTGTCATCTTTCTTAAATTACTGCCGTTTTAAATTACAGTTTTAACTGTTAGTTAGACGTCTGTTAAAGCATTTTCTTTGTAGAAAAAATACTAAAACTTAGTTTATTCCTAGCAAATGTAAAACCTAGGAATTTTTTGTGTTGTTGTATTTTGGCAGTAGAAACTTTTCAGGGAGGTCACACTGCAACAGGATGGTATTTTCTGAGGCTGTCAGATCTCCCCATTGGAGTACCCCTGTGAAAATGCTGCTGGGGTCTCTGGGAGGAATGGAACAATGTCCAGGTCAGACTGAACATCCATGCAGAGAACAATTTAGCATTTATGGAAGCTTTGCTCCAGATCAGTATCTCTCTGGGTTCCCACTGAATATGAATGTCTGCACAGCGTGGTGGGAGTCTTAAGACAACTGATTAATCAGGCAAGTTTTAAAGCTTTTAGACTGACCCTTCAGTAGTAACACCCTTCATGCTAATGTTTAGCTGCCTAAAGCACTGTCACTCAGTGTCACTATCTACTTAATTAAAAGACAGGAGTCCTTACCAGTCATGCAGTCAGTGCAAAGAGCTGATGCTCTGCTCTTAGCACTGAGGAGTAAGTTCCACCTTCTCTCAGGCCTTGAATGATCTAACTCCTTTGGAGATTGGCTGGGTTTCTAGGCTGTTTTTAACTTACAGCATCCCTTTTGACTACTTGCTTCAGGATGCTGAAGAATAACTTTCCTAGGCCACAGCAAGCACTTGACCATATTGGTTGGTTTCTCCCTCACACCCCTTTTCTGTTGCTTTGGTTTCTTGCCCCTCACTTTGAGAAAAACTCCTGCTTTTCATAAAGCCAAAATACTCTTTTTAGAACTCCTGAGGTTGCCCTTGTCCAGCAATTTACTGTCACTTTATTGTTGTGTGGCCTGTTATCAAACAGTGCCTGTGTTTTCAAGGCCCTTGCATTTCCCACACTCCAGTAGTCCACCATAATAAAGTAAGAGTTACTAAGCTTCAGCTGCCATAACAAATTGTTAACGAGCCTGACAGGGCAGCCCAGGGCCTAGCAGAGTTAACCTAAGGCCTGAGGCCTGTTACTACCATGGGCACCTTACCTTCATGGGCACAAAACCACTTAGACTCTGTTACTTGCCTTATGCTTGAGTTCAGAACAACCTGTTCCTGTGGTGTGCTTAGGCTCTCATTTGGCCATTCCAGCCACCCACTTGTCTAGACAGCTCCCTGAGGGAGATCTCGTCAGTGGTCTGGCCAGTTCAGAACTGCACCTAGTATTCAAAATGCAGGTTAGCTGTGAATATGTATTCAGTGGTATGTTCAGTTTGCTCTTGTTCCATTCCTAGAACTTTCAAGCATTTCATTCTGATTGCTGGTGAGCATTGAGTGTGTTTACATGGGACTGAGAATTACAACACGAAGATTCTGGTTGGTGGCAGTCAGCTCAGAGCCCATCCTCCTATATGGAAATATGTATAACTATATATAGTTAGGATTGCCTTTCCTCATTGAGATAACATGAGGTTTATCTCAACTGAAGTTTTATCTGCAGCCTTGTTGTCTGGCATTGGTTATTTTTTAGTGTCCTTTTGCAATTCTTTATCAAATTTACTGATAATTGCTCTGAACAAGATAATTTGGCCATTCTGTCCCTTGTTTCTGAAGAGGCCGATGGAAGCACAAACATGTACAGTTGTGCCTGATCAGTTGCATGTGTACCTTACTAATTTATGGATTCAATTAAAATATTAGTGCTTGATAGAACTCTGTTAGTACAGGAGGAAGCAGATATGAAGATTAGATGTTTTGCTTCCTCTGAGCTCATACACACAGATAAATACAGAGCAACATTTCTTCCCATTCATCACCTTGCAAAAGGACTGAATTAATTTAAATGTAAATGCTCCATTGAATTTCTGGGAGGCATGTGATTTTTGTCTTGCTGCAATATTTCAATCCTTTTTCTTGTATTAGGTTCTTCTCAGTGATATCTCAGAAATTAAATGGCCTGACCCTGCGACAGCTGATCTGACAAGATGTTTAGACAATGGCAGTGTGAAGGTCTCATCTGTAGATGGCTATGCTCACCTTTACTTGTCAGAATTGCAGCAAGAATTTACAGTGGAGTTCTTATGCAAAGTCAGCCAGTCATCTGCAGCATCCTCATGCTCCTCTGAAAAGAACAGCAACTATCAAAGCGGAGATCAGTGTGGAAAACCAAGTAAAAATTCTGCGGAAGTCTCATCAAAACAAAGAAGAATAGAGAATAGGGATAAATGTAGTTGTGCTGAAGGTAGGTATAGGGAACCAGCCAAACCAAAGGACCAAAAAGATGGAGATGGAGTGCCTTTGTTCCACACAAGTTGTTCTTCTGAATACACATGGGTTACACAGCGTTGGACTGTTTCCTTGTGCCCGGAAGAATGGAAATACCCTTTGTCCTTGGCACTAAAATGCTGTAACTTACATATTGTGGAAAATGTAATAAAGACATATGAGACAAACAGCTGTACAGCTGTTGAGGGTGATGTTTTAGCAGACTCTGAAACATATGAAACAGTTTCTTGTTTACCTACAGCTTTGCCACTCAGCTGCAGAGCCCCACATCTACACAGGTAATTTAAACTCTTTACTTTGTCATTGTTATCATATGCTTTTCAATTCTGCATTTTGGATCTTCAACTTCTAGCAAAATAATTGAATACTAGCTATAAAAAAAAAGTTTAAAATTACTATCAGTTGTGGGTCTTTTAGAACCTTCTTGAAACTTGACTTCGTAAAACCAACATTCTGTAACCTACTCTAATGAAGCTA